AACGACGATAAAGATGACCTCAGAGACACCTCAATGAATCAAATGTGTTGTTTGTTTGGTTACTTTCTGTCTGACCTTCTCTTCACTTAGAGTATTTTTGTCTTGTTCAGTCATTATTTTTATCAGCAGCATCTATCTAACATTCAGAAGAGCAGTATCAGCTCTTGTTACAGCATAGGGAAACTTTTATATTGGAAAGATAATCCCATAATCACAACAATTTAATAGCAATACAAATTATGTAAAATAAATAATACACACACACACACACACACACACATATATATATATATATATATAAAATTGTTAGTAGTAGTATTTAATGCAAATATAATATAACTTGTGTTTGTTTGTTTGCTGGTTTGTATTGTATTTGTTATACTTGCATTTTTTTAAATAGTTTTTGCCATGAAAATAGCCTAAGATGCTTACATGGCCTTAAATAAAAATATACTACTACTATTTAATGCAAATAATAATACTTATTATTTATGTATTTAAATAAAAAACAACAATCACAATCATTGTTTATTAATAATTATTATTATTATTATTTTATTATTTATAATATTTAATAACAAAATAATAATCCTTATTATTTATATTTTAATTCCATTACTAGTAGTAGTATTTAATGCAAATAATAATAATTATTATAGATGGATTTAAACAATAACAACAATCACAATCATTTTTATTAATAATAATACTATTTTTATTATTATTTATATATTATAATATTTATATAATTAATAATAACATCAAAATAATAATAATAATAATTCTTATTGCTTATATTTATAATCCCATAATCACAACAATTTATCGCAATACAATTATTTAAAATAAATAACACACACACACACATATATATATATATAAATAATTAGTAGTAGTATTTAATATAAATAATATTAATAATTATTGGTGATGTATTAACATAACAATACTTATTTATTAATTATTTTATAATAATTGTTTATTATTTATATATTTATTTTATATATTGTAATATTTATATAATTAATAACAGCAAAATAATAATAATAATTCTTATTCTTCTTACTATTATTAGGAATTTTTTTTTTTTACCTTTTTGAAGTTTTTCTAGTAGTGTTTGCTAGTAATGAACATTTGCGCTTTTTCTAAAACTATATACTACATATGTAGAATATAATTATTTCTTCAGCTTGGTCAAGTTTTAGAAGATCTCTTTGTCTGTTTGCACTCTTAACTTCCTTTCAAAACATTCATTATTAATCCTGAGGGTGCATTAAGTAATTGAATTCCAAAAATTAAAATGATGCTGTCTTAGACTCTAGTCATATCTGTGGTCTGTTGTATTGTGTATATAAAGGTGGTCCTTCTCATTTCACTCATCACTGTAGCTTCCATCTTGAGAGCACCTGACCAGTAAAATACTAGGTACTTTATGACAAACAAAAATTACTTGGTGCACCTTTAACAAATTCTTTCCTAATTGCTAATTTCCTCTCCAACTGTAAATCGATTTTGCTCTCTAATCTGCTGCTCTTTCTGTTTTTGTCTATGGTTATTTCTTGTCATTGTAGGTTGTAGCCGCGTGCCTGAAACATGAGCAATGCAAAACACAATTCCTGGCTCTGCCTTGCATGCCTGCTGAAAGCCTGACCTCTTCTGGACTTACAAACTAACATCGCCTGCTCTTCTGTCTCTAACGTTCTTTGGTTCTGTGGGTGTTGGGATGGGGGACTGCTGTGGCGATGTGTAAAACCAAATGCTTTGCCTTTTTTATTCCTATTCCTATTATTATTTTCGGAGTGTGTGACTGGTTCTCTCTTTCCGCTCCAGTTCGTGACATCACGTGACGCATTTTTCCCGCTGGATTTGCAGGATTCAATGACACTACGATGAAGATGTTCTCTTTCTCTCTCTCTCTTCCTCTCCTGTGGTCTTGGTGCCTCTTAGTCCTGTGTAACATGCGCTGATTCCGTCTCTGATTGGCTCGTCTGGTTCATGCTAACACACCTTTAGTTGTCACTCTTCCTCCATGGTGTCCGGTAGTAGACGTTTTGTTTCACAAATGATAATATTCTTGATGGAAAGTTATTGAGCTGCGAGGGTCTAACAAAATTTGGTGTGTGAGTCACATAAGGGCCCCTTCTGAGCACAGATTGCGAAAATGAGCCAAAGAGAAGCATGTGCGACTTCTCACCCGACTACAGGGCCTGATTTTCCACGAAGAAGATGCTGAACGTTTGTATTCAAGCGAGATTTCGATGAACTCAGCAGAACAGTGTTCCATAAGTTGTGTAAACATGAACTCTCATACGTGTTTGTGTGTAACGTGCGTGTTTGTAACAATGTGGAAGGGTGTGTGTTTGTTTGCGTGTTCTGTGAAAGACTGGACTTTGTGGTTTGGAAATATCAATGACAATGTAAAATATTTGTGTATAAATATGGTTTATTTATTGTACAGTTAATGAACAGAATTCTTTTAATATTTATATGGACATTTTATATAAATATATATACTGTACATCATGACATTTTGAATAGGTACTGCTGTGCTATCCCAGATGTAAATATTCTTTATATTTTTTCATGTAAAAAACAAAACAAAAAAACATGGAAGACTTTTATAGAATGGGTCGATACATGTCATGTACAGTCATATTTTTGTATTGCATGTGGCTACTGTACACAGTGTCTGTTCTCATCCTTGAAAGACAATAAAATCGAGCTTGTCACGTAACTGGTCAAATCTATACACGTTAGAATCTTAAAAGGATCTCCGGGATTTGCAGAGATTTGCAGTTTCTCATATTGCACAGAACATGCATAAACCTGAAGTACACAAGTGTGTGTTTCAACATATTATTAAATTAATCATTAAATGAATGTTCCGGATTGAGGGGTGTAACCAAATAATTATTGAAAAACCTGTATTAGTCAACCACTCATCTGAACATTTTGGACAAATATAGGCTACAACAAGACTTCCAAGCACATGATTGTATGCAATTATGAATAAAGTCCCTCTCATTGAGCACAATTCTGTTTGATGTTATAATGATGGAAAAGACTCCTGTCTTGTAGATGTAAGACTTCATCTGCGGAAAAAACCCCCCACGAGAGTTCAGAATAATGGTTTCTCTCACTCCACTCTTTCTCCAGACTCTGGGACCTTGATTTCCAAATGAAATGCAAAATTTACTTTGATCTGAAAAGAGGACTTTGGTCCACTGTGTTTTCTGAAGTTTTCTGATTTTAGAGCACTTCATGCTTCCTTCTGCTGACAAGCTTTATAGAGATGCTGATTTCCTTTTCCAGCAGGACTTGGCACCTGCCCACACTGCCAAAAAAAACAAAAGCTGGTTCAATGACCATGGTGTTGGTGTGCTTGATTGGCCTCCAAACTCGCCTGACCTGAACCCCATAGAGAATCTATGGGGTATTGTCAAGAGGAAGATGAGAGACAACAGACCCAACAATGCAGATGACCTGAAGGCCGCTATCAAAGCAACCTGGGCTTCCATTACACCGGAGCAGTGCCACAGGCTGATTGTCTCCATGCCACGTCGCACTGATGCAGTAATTCATGCAAAAGGAGGCCCAACCAAGTATTGAGTACATGTACAGTAAATGAACATACTTTCCAGAAGGCCAACAATTCACAAAAAATGTTTTTTTTTATTGGTCTTATGAAGTATTCTAATTTGTTGAGATAGTGAATTGGTGGGTTTTTGTGAAATTTGAGCCAAAATCATCACAATTAAAAGAACCAAAGACTTAAACTACTTCAGTCTGTGTGCATTGAATTGATTTAATACACGAGTTTCACAATTTGAGTTGAATTACTGAAATAAATGAACTTTTTCATGACATTCTAATTTATTGAGATGCACCTGTACATGTAATGACTGTAGAGGTCAGTGTTACACTGTCTCACTGAAGAAAGTCCAACCCATAACTGGAAAAGGTGTCCGTTGTATCAATACACAGTTTCACACAACTTCACCAGCACAGTGAGGCCCTTGATACCAATCCCCCCCCCCCTTAAAAATTATTTTCCTCTTTCAAAGCTGTAACTAACTATGCATTCAGAGGTTCAGGAAACTATATGTAACTCTTGAGTGATGCAGGCCCCTCAGTGTCTGTGGAAGATAACACCCTGCTGTTTAATGTACTGATTATAATGAATGTTTTTTTTATATCAAGAAATATGGCCTATCATTAAAGAACAGTGATGTTTGCATGGTTATATCACAGCATTCAACTGTAAGAGAAAAACCACTCTGAATCCAGCATCATGCTGCCAGCAGTCCATACTCTTGTGAGGTCTGCAGACTCTTGAGAAACTGTCCATTCACTGCTTCCACTGCAGAGGTTTGAGCTCCAGGGCTCTTCACAAAGGCTTTCTTTGTGTCTCGAGGCAGCTTCTAATTTCTCTGTGTCTGAGAGCGTTCACTGTTCTGCGGTGACCATGCTGTTTCCGGCATCTCTTTGAGTTTTACTCGCCTCACACTGCCTGCAACAAGCTGCTCTTTCTTCTGCTCTCTCTCTCTCCCTCTCTCACTGCCTTTCCCAAAATTCATAAATCTGTTTACTTTACAGCATGTGACTGTAACATGGCTAAATGCAAGAGAGATGGCCTGCTTTTAGACAGTGTTATCAAAACAGTACTTACTACATTACTTATTACATAAGAACTGATATTCACAAACCTCATTGCTATTCTAAAACAATATACAAAAAATAATGTAACACATATGTTACATTATTTGTATATTGTTTTGTAATAACATTGTTCAGAAAGTTCTACATGATGGATTGTTATATTTAGAGCTAATATGAACACAGTATGTTTATTTCTAAATAATCATTATTATCATAAAGTAATAAAGTAAGGAAAAAATAAATACAATCTCTCTCTCTCTCTCTCTCTCGCTCGCTCTCTGCTGGCGCATGCGCATTCGGGTTTTCATCTCTCATCTGCACCGCTGCTGTGCTGCTGCTGCTTCGCTGGATCGGAGGATTCAAACTTCCGGCACTGTCATGGCGGCATGCTGCTGTTTCTGACACCGACCAGACCGAATACCGAGCCGCCCCTCGTTCGGCCCTCAGCGCGGCGCGGATCGAGGAGCGCAGGGGTCGCAGACCGCGGAAAAGGCGTCCTCTCCCCCTCCACTTCATCATCATCATCATCAGCGGCGGCGGAGGTGCTAGCGTGAGCGGCCATGGCGGCACAGAAGCCCGTGGAGTGGGTCCAGGCCGTCATCACCCGATTCGACGAGCAGGTCAGAGCTCCTCTAAACCTCTCTGAACGCCTCGTCTGCACGGATGCGCAGTTACGCAGCTGTCGCAGCGCATCCGTGCAGCCGCTGCGCGTCTCCGTTCTCATTCTGATGCTGCTGTGTTTATATCCTGTAACAACGTTAAATGCATGGGACGCGACTAGTTTAGTAGTACGTGTTGCTCAGCATCCTCTACTGAACCTGGAAATACGTTCTTACCAACTCTAAACCTAATCAAACCTTACTAACCTAAAATCATAGGGCAAGGGTTCATCTCGAAAATCAGTCCTCCTAATCACTTGACTACTGATTTTAGGGTTATGACCTGTAGTAATGTGCCTGTCAAACAATTATTATTAAAGAAAAAACAGAGAGCAGTGATTGGAACAACATTCTTATTGACCAATCTCTGCTCTTGAATTTTAGGGACAGGTTTAGGGTCAGGGTCGCCCCTATGCTGCGGGGGTGTGCCATCTGCCAGACCACTATGACCCCCAAGCCAAAATAAGATATCTTTCGCATTTGATTTAACCCGGCTTTAACTGTCACAAACACATAAATTCCTCATTAAAATAAATCCATAAATTGCAGGTTTCTGGTATATGCAATAGTTTGTTTTTGTGTAGTTGTAGTGTTTGATTTAATGCAAATTTAACCTACATACAAGAAGAAATAACATAGAACTTTTTGAAACAAAACTTCACAAAAAGAACAGGGGTGTATGCGATAAGTGCCTCTGTGTGCGTAGATATTAAGACAGTTTCTTGGGATTTTAACCACTTTGTACCACTGTACCATGTGTTGCTTCTTAATTAATATTAATAATTGAATTTATTTAGTCATTTATTTTACATTTAATGCGATAAGTGCCTCTGTGTGCGTAGATATTAAGACAGTTTCTTGGGATTTTAACCACTTTGTACCATGTGTTGCTTCTTAATTAATATTAATAATTGAATTTATTTAGTCATTTATTTTACATTTGTCTGCTTTTGTAATTCACATCATGTGAGATGAGAGTTATTGTTTATACTTTCACTTCATATTTTGTGTCCCACATGTGAACCCACATCAGAGCTGACCCTTGATTGAGCCACACAGCTTCACTTTCTCATCTAAGAGCTGTGTCATCAGTTTAATATCTCTTCAGAGCTGTACTGGGTTATTAGGTTACTTCAGACGGTTTCAGTGAGGTTTGATGTGTGACGTATAACTGAGTAGTCTTATGCAATGACGACTGTCCCTGTTTAGTGTGAATCCTACTGGTTTAAACCTGCAGTTGTACTTATGAAACAGGTTATAAGTTAGAAATTTAACCCATTATTTACCAGACAGGCGAAAGCCTGTGAATGGTTAAGCTAGCATGTTTTCTTTTCATCTTGTTTGAGTTGTTTTAACGGCATAAACCTGCCTGTTAAATGTCAAATGTTGACTAAAATTTGACCAGACACCAAAGAAACATTGACAGACCGTCATGACAGACACAGAAATTGTCATTATTTACTCATCCTCATATGTGACCCTGGACCACAAAACCAGTCTTAAGGGTAAATTTTTCGAAATTGAGATTTATGCATCAGCTGAAAGCTGAATAAATAAGCTTTCCATTGATGTATGGGTGGTTTGAATTGGAAAATATTTGGCCGATATAGAAGGATTTGAAAATCTGGAATCTGAGGGTGCAAAAAAATCTAAATACTGAGAAAATCGCCTTTAAAGTTGTCCAAATTAAGTTCTTAGCAATGCATATTACTAATCAAAAATGAAGTTTTGATATATTTACAGTAGGAAAATTACAAAATATGTTCATGGAACATGATCTTTGCTTAATGTCCTAATGATTTTTGGCATAAAAGAAAAATCTATAATTTCCAATAATCAATAAAACCCATACAATGTATTTTTGGCTATAGCTATAAATATACCCCAGTGACTTAAGACTGGTTTTGTGGTCCAGGGTCACATATTGTTCCAAACACTTTTAACACATTCAACTCACAAAAGGCGGGTTTCTGACAGGATATTGTATTTATATATTTGTTTTCATTTTCATTTTGGGGAAACTTTCCATTCAAGAGCAAAATTAGGCGAGTGCCAGGAGAAATATGTTGTTTATGAGCAAGTTAAACTGGCAACACATGAAGAATATTTCTTTTTAGGCGTCATCTACTTGAGCTAAGTAAAGGTACAAGCCACTAGCTATTTCTGCCCCTCAAAGGTTCCTTAAGGTACTGCAACAACAAACATTTTTGGAGACATAAAACAGTGTTTCCACATTGAGTCTTTAGCCTGATTTCTTTAAGCGGTAAATACCAGATTTGGTGGCGTATACACATTGACCAGTGTACTTGTAAGCCTCAGAGGCTGTCCAGTCAACAGTTGGAGCATGGAGGAAGCCTTGTTAAAGGGAATCGGGATCATTGCAGTTTGATTGAAGTTCAGCGGAGATTAGGGGTGTTTTGTGATGCTAAACCTGGCCTAAACTCTGGATAATCCCAAAATGGGATTCCGTGCCGCTGATTGGTTTTAGCAATTTTCTTTGACTTGCTTTTTGAAACTGAGATTTGCTGCTGTTTACTTTGTTGTAACAAAAAAAAAAAAAGTTTTCTCATTGATTAAAGAAAAAGTTCACCATCTAAATGTTTACATCATGATTTGCTTACCTCATATTGTGAAATACAAAGGTGAATTTTTGAAGAATATGCTAGCTACTCTTTTGCATATAATAAAAATAAATGGCAGCTGGGGCTGTCAAGCTACAAAATGACAAAACATTTCCATAAAAAAAAAAACACCATAAAAGTGCTCATGCGCGATATTCCATGTCTTCTGAAGTCACACAATAGATTTATGTGAGAAACAGAATGAAAAGAAAATATCTCTCATTCAGAGAGTTTGTCCTGTAAGTGGGTTGAAACATCTTCTGAACATGTATTTGTCTGTATCTGAACACTGTGTATGTGTGTTTGTTTTTAGCTTCCTGTGAAAGTCGGCGTGCAAAACACACACACTAAAATCAGCACCGAGCACAATAAGGAATGTCTGATCAACATCTCCAGGTACAAATTCTCCCTGGTCATCAGTGGACTCACCAACATACTGAAGAATGTCAATAACATGGTGAGTGTTTATTCAAGAGTTGGTGCACAAGCACAATAGACGTTTACAAATGGCGTTAATGTGTATTTTTAATATATTATGATATGCACACTTCCATTCAAAAGTGTTCAAAGTCAGGAAGATGGATTTCATGCATTTATTTGATTAAAAATACAGTAGTTAATGTTTAAAATAACGGTTTTATATTTTAACACATTTTAAAAATGTGATTTATTCCTGCGATGGCAAAGCTGAATTTGCAGCATTACTACTCCAGTCTTCAGTGTCCCGTGATCCTTCACAAAACTTTCTAATATGCTGATTTGGTGTTCAAAAAACATTTCTTTTCATTATTAATGTTGAAAGCAAATGTGCTGCTAAATATTTTATTTTTGTGGAAACCGTGATACTTTTATCTTCCGAAGAACAGCGTTTATTAGTTTATTTTCAATGTCTTTACTGTCACTTTTGATCAATTTAATGAATTATTGCTAAATAAAAAGACAACAGATACAGATATTTTTTGTTACTTTCACCTTTGTTATTGATCCTCCAGTATATCAACATTATGTCTTTCTGTCTAGTTATTGATATTGGCTATTAAATATATTGTTCGGTCCCTAGGCAGGAGCTACTGTGAGCGTTTGTTCTAGACCGTTGAAGATGGTTCTTTGTGCTAGAGCTCTATGGCACATGTGCTGGTCTCTCTCTCTCTTAGTTTGCTATCTCTATCTCTTACAGCGGATATTTGGAGATACTGCAGAGAAGAACCTTTACCTGTCCCAGCTTATCATCATGGACACACTGGAGAAGTGCCTGGCAGGGGTGAGAGACGGCTGCAGACCATTCATTGTGTCTCATTTCATGAGCTGTCACCATTGTGCCATTATTGCCTTTTCAACTTCATTTTGAAACGAGATACACATCTAGATGTTGATAATTCCTATAAACAAGTCCTATAAACTCCCTTTCTCTCTCCAGCAACCAAAGGACAGCATGCGTCTGGATGAGACGATGCTCGTCAAGCAGTTATTGCCCGAGATCTGTCATTTCATCCACACGTACCGTGAGGGAAACCAGTACGCGGCCGAGCTGAGGAACTCCGCCTGTGGGGTTCTGTTCTCTCTGAGCTGCAGTAACTTCAGCGCTGTCTTCAGCCGCATCTCCACCAGGTACGTACGACCCCTTGTGATTAGATGGAAGGGATGAATGGATTTGACCTCTCTGATTTTCTGTCTGTCTGCTTCCCTGCAGGTTGCAGGAGCTGACCGTTTGCTCTGAGGATAACGTAGACGTGCACGACATCGAGCTCATCCAGTACATCAACGTGGACTGCTGTAAATTTAAACGCCTCCTGCAAGGTTTGATTGACTCAAACTCAGGGTTTAATATTCTGAGCTGAAAAAAGTTGTTATAGTTGTTATATATGAAAAATATTAGAGGCAACAGGAAAAGTATCTAGTTTCCTTTTAATGTGTCAAAGTCTTTTCTTCTTGCAGAAACTGTGTTTAAATTTAAAGCCTTAAAGAAGCCAGCCCAGTTGAGTGTCATCTACAATTTAGAGAAGGTAGGTGGAATGATAATAATAATAATAATTATTATTATTATTATGTGAAATATTACAGCGGTGTGGCTCATATAATACAATTTAAAATAACAATATAATAATTATTTTTATTATTATTTTTATTTTATTTTTTATTTTATTATATTATTATGAATAAATGGAGAAAATTACCTTAATAATAATATAAATATTATTATAATATAAACGGTATTATTATAATTTGTGTTATTTATTATTATTATTATTGGCATTTTATCGCATTATAAAGATTATTACAATTTAAAATGTATCATTTCAAAGTGATGATACACAAAAGTATTATAATCCATGCATCAATATTATTATTTTTATTATTATAATATACAGTGGGTACGGAAAGTATTCAGGCCCCCTTAAATTTTTCACTCTTTGTTATATTGCAGCCATTTGCTAAAATCATTTAAGTTAATTTTTTTTCCTCATTAATGTACACACAGCACCCCATATTGACAGAAAAACACAGAATTGTTGACATTTTTGCAGATTTATTAAAAAAGAAAAACTGAAATATCACATGGTCCTAAGTATTCAGACCTTTGACCTTTGACCTATTACATAATTATATATATATATATATATATATATATACATATATATCAGTTTGTAGCATTTTTTTCGTATATCATACTATAGATTTAAATGGTTAATTTAACATTTTGTCATTTGTTTGTGTTTTGTATACAATTTTCTCTACTTCTCCTAGTGATGTCCTCTCTCAGTGCAGGAAACATCTGCTGTGTGTGTTTTTTGATTGAATTTGCAGGCGTTCTGGAACTGGGTGGAAAATTATGCTGATGAATTCACCAGGTTGTACCAGAGGCCTCAGGCAGACATGGCTGGTGCGTCCACTGAAAACCTCACTGTACCATATCAGCATGGCTTTGGAGAGGATATGTGAATCTGATCTCTGTGTGTGTGTGTGTGTGTGTGTGTGTGTGTGTGTTTCAGAGTGTGCTGAGAAGCTGTTTGATCTGGTGGATAGTTTTGCTGAGAGTACAAAGAGGAAAGCAGCCGTTTGGCCCCTGCAGATCATCCTCCTCATCCTCTGCCCTGACATCACACAAGACATGTCCAGAGACACGTCAGATGACTCGAAAGACAACAAGGCAAGCATACACAAACTTGTGCACGTGTACTTCTCAGGATCACCTCTTGATCATTATTGTTCTTAAATTATAATAACTAATGATAGACAGATTAAATAGCTGTATAACTTTTAAACATTGTAAATACTGTGTAAAAGAAATGTATTTTAATTGAGCAATTTGTGTTTTAAAATTGTTATTTATTTGTTTTTATTTCGCTTTTATTTCTGTTTTTATTTAAGCACATTGTATGCTATAAAAATAAAATTAACGAAATAATGAATATTATTAATTAATGATTTTTCTGTAATTTTTTTATTTAAATTTTCATTTATTTAAAAAAAATGAACACACACATATGGCATTATATCAGCCACATACAAAACCCATCTGAGTCTCACTAATGTTGTAAAAGCATATATACACACCCTTCCTCACACACATACTAAACCTAGACAACTAGTGTACATCACACAGTTTGTACTTTTTATAAATAGTTTATTTCGACAACCCTCACTTTTTTGTAAAATTAGTAAAATATTCATACTATAAACTATAATTAGATCTCAGTCTCTGAACTGTTTACAATATGTATTCACGTGTTGCTTTTTTCCCCTGTAGAAACTGTTTTTGGAGAATCTACGGAAAGCCTTGACTGGTCACGGTGGAAGCAAACAGCTGACGGAAAGCGCAGCTATTGCCTGCGTTAAACTGTGCAAAGCGTCCACATACATCAGCTGGGAGGATCACTCCGTTATCTTCCTGCTGGTGCAGTCCATCGTCATGGATCTGAAGGTATGGACAAATATGGCTCCTCATAGACCTTTTTATTTAGTTTTTGCCTGGTTCGTATAGTTGAAAGTAGCAAACACTAAAAGAAACCCAAACCTGGTGACTCGCAGTGGCTTAAAAGTGTCTGAATGTTTCATGTTGATGCTGTCCTCTTCATTGATGGCTGTCTCTTGGCTTCCAGGGGTTGCTGTTTAACCCAGCTAAACCGTTTTCCAGAGGCGCTGGGAGCCAGAGTGCAGACGTGGACTTAATGATCGACTGTTTTGTCTCCTGTTTCAGAATCAACCCTCATAACAATCAGCAATTTAAGGTGTGTGGACAAGTCAAGTCAAATGTATTTATATAGCTCTTTTCACTGTAGTTTTTATAATTTCTTAATACCTTTATGCGTTACGTGGTGATATTGAGAATTTTGAAACAATTTATACATCGTTCCAATAACATGCACAGACTTGACCTAAATCTCTGGTTCTTTTTCTGAAAGGTGTGTCTGGCTCCGTCCTCACCTCCTACCTTTCATTTCGTGCTGGTGAATTCTCTCCACCGAATCATCACTAATGTAAGAGCTCCTGGTGTCCTTAGATCACCTCAGAGAGCTAGGATGTCTGATTCACTCCCAGGGTGTCCAAATGTCCTCTGTGTGTCTTCCGTCATGTTCTAGTCCCCGCTGGACTGGTGGCCGAAGATCGATACCGTGTACTGTTACTCGGGAGAGCTGCGGCTCATGTTTGCTGAGACTCTGGGGAGAGTGGTGCAGGGCTGCAGCAGTCACGCCCCCCTCCGGATGACCTCGGTGAGACGCCCGCAAAACTTCTCCGATTGAAGATCACCTCTAGTGTCCATGCTGAGAATAGAATATTTGCGTACTGCACAGTTTACTATACGCAGCCTGCTATTTTTAGACATAGTATGTGAAACAGCATAGAGTACGCTACAATACATTTTCCAAACAGGCCATAACATCACTATGTTGAAAAATTAATTCGTTGAGTGGCAAGCAGTCATCTCAGAAAGGAATACAGCAGTTTAGCATTTTTAATTCTGTTTTGTGAAGACTTTTTGTAATGACTCGAGAGATAGAAATCACAGATAGACGTGTAAAGGCTACTTAAAAAAAGAATGGGGGACTGTGTATAAATAAAATGTATGAACAGATGAACAAATTAAATTTAAGTTTATGAACAGTATATGATATATACACAAATTAATAGATTAAAATGTAAACTTTATGAACGCATCATATTTCGCTTATCTTTTTATCTTTGTATAATATATTTATACTTCTTTATATTTTAAATATATATAAAATCTATTATCCATATTTATTTTATTTTTTCTATATTTAAATATTATAAAATTTGTAATATATATTTAATATATATTAAAAATGTTTTTTTTTTTTTTTAAGAAATCTCATATATTCACCTAGACGGCATTTATTTGATCAATACTACAGTAAAACGGTAATATTGTGAAATAGTACAGTTTAAAATAACTGTTTTCTATTTTATTTATCTTTCAAAAATGTAATTTATTCCTGTAATGACAAAGCTGAATTTTCAGGAGCCATTACTCCAGTCTTCAGTGTCACGTGATCCTTAAGAAATCATTTTAATATGCTAATTTGGGACTCAAAAAGCATATATATTTATCAATATCAATGTTCAAAACGGTTGTGCTGCTTAATATTTTTGTCTAAACGGTAATGCATAGATAAATATTAAGTTTTTTAAATATTAACAGCTTTTATTTTAAATAAAAATCTTTTTCTGTCACTTTCGATCAGTTTAGTCCATTCTGTCTGAATAAAAAAAGGCTTACTGACCCCAAACTTTTTGCCCAGAGCTTTTTGTTTGTTTCTATTTCGTTCTCTCTGTCTTCCTCTCAGAGTTTGACCTTTAAGGAGAAAATGAGCAGTCTGAAGTTTAAAGAAAAAACCACTGATCTGGACACCAGGAGTCACAAGTATCTGCTTTTGGCTTTGGTGAAGCTCATCCATGCAGATCCCAAATTGATGCTACATGTGAGTGAAGAGGCTTAGCTTTCTTTGGCTTTATAAAGACATGCTCTGCCCTACTATTAATGTCAGGTGTGTTTGTGAATCAGAATCCAGGTAAACAGGGTCTGGAGGTCCACAGCAGCACGGCAGATCTTATCACAGGCCTGGTGCAGCTTGTGCCGTTTGCGAACATGGGAGATATTTCCCAGGAGGCCATGGAGGTGAGGTCATTGCATCTCGCTGTTTATCTGGTGCCTCTAGCATGAGTTTAGATGGTCTGTATATACGTTTTCAGTCCTAATCTGTGTCTGTCTTAGGCTCTTCTGGTCCTGCATCAGCCTGAAGGCATCGAGCTGTGGAACCCAGACGCTCCTATGGAAACTTTCTGGGACATCAGGTAGCTCCTCAGTGGACACGACTCCAGTTAATAAGTGCTGATAGAAATGAAACTTTGCCCTGTTGATTGTGTATGTATGTGTTGTCGGTTCAGTTCTCAGGTGCTGTTCTTCATCTGTAAGAAGCTGTTTGGTCATCAGCTGATCAGCAGCACTGAGATTCTGAAGTGGCTGCGAGAGATTCTCATCTGCAGAAACAAATTTCTTCTCAGGAACAAAGTGAGTCTGCACTCTCACCTGCACACATGGCATTATGGGTCAAATGTTTGTATATCCTTGACTACATTATCTGGACATTTCTAAAAACATTAATTACCTCTTCCTTTTTTAATCTTTCACTTTTATTTTTGCTCTTGTTATCTGGCTTGTTTGTATATCCTGAACTGTGAAGCACTTGTGCAGTACAAATAAAATGTCATTGTTTTAAATAAAAATGAATATAAATTATTATTATATATTTTATAACAACAACAGCAAAAATAATAATAATGATAACTTTTATGCTTATTTTTATTATTATTATTATCATTAATTGTGTGACGTATATAAATAAACTGCACAGTGCGGGGTACAAATTAAAAATCTATATTGAAAATAAAAATTCATATAAATTAAGCATTTTGCAGTACAAATAATAACTTCTAATAATATTATTATTATTATTATTATTTGCCAAAGTGTGAAGTATATAACCAAACTACAGTGTGTGGGGTACAAATAAAATACAAATTTTAAAATAAAAATGAATATAAATTATTATTATATATTTTATAACAACATCAAAATAATGATAATAACTTTTATTATTATTATTATAATCATCATCAATTGTGTGGCATATACTGTATAAATAAACTGCACAGTGTGGGGTACAAATAAAAATTAAATATTTAAAATAGAAATTCATATAAATAATTAAGCACTTGTGAAGAACAATTAATAATAATAATAATAATACTATTATTATTAGTAGTAGTAGGAGCCAAAGTGTGAAGTATATAACCAAACTGCCATTTGTGGAGTACAAATAAAATTTAAATATAAAAATTAATATGAATATCAGTATGTTATAATAATAATAATAATAATAATTGTGTGTTTGACCTGACTTTGCTGTGTAGCAAAAGAACAAGGATATCAGGAAATGTAAAAAAAAAATAAAAAAATAAAAAAGGGTTAAAAATATGAAATGGCAAATATTGGTTATATAGAGAGGAATATAAATTTTTTTTGTTTGTTTTATCTGTTCTTCTCATACAGGATCGGGCCACAGCAGGCAGCAACATCGCCATCTGCCGGCAGGCCCAGACCAAGCTGGAGGTCTGTCTTTACATGTTCCTGTGGAGTCCAGACATGGAGGCAGTTCTGGTGGCCATGTCCTGTTTCCGCTTCCTGTGTGAGGAGGCAGACATCCACTGCGGTGCAGAAGACATCCCTGTGCAGTCCCTTCTGCCAAACTACAACACGTTCATGGAGTTTGCATCTGTCAGTAACATGATGATTACAGGTCTGTCTGATAAACTAGTCTGAATGCATGGATTCAGACACGTACCTCTGTTTTTTGAGATCTGTGACTGGTGTTACAGGTGCCTCTAGAGGGCAGCACAGTTTTTGTGAGCTCTCTGATTTTTCTAGGTCGTTCGGCTCTACAGAAGAGAGTAATGGCTTTGCTTCGGAGGATTGAGCTGCCCACCCCGGGAAACACAGAGGTCAGAGATCACACGTTTAACACTATTGAACAGTAGTAGACACATTCTGGTTGGTTGACGAACACATTTGCATTGTCCTGGTTGTGTGCCATTGTATTGTCCAACATAATTGTTTTGAATCGGAGCCTTTTAGAATATGCAAAACTTGATTTGTTTTTCAAACTATGTGGTTGGATTTCACAGTTCAGTACTTGTGTGCTGTTTCGGTTGTTTGTGTAAAAAAAAAAAAACAATTTTTTTGTGGTCTAATTTGAAGATAACATGTATGACGGGTTTTAACAGCTCTGTTTGGTCATTTCAGGCCTGGGAGGACACACATGCCAAATGGGAACATGCAACCAAATTAATTTTAAGCCACCCGAAAACGAAACTAGAAGACAGTCAGGTCAGTCACCCTACAGTAGAAAATGGATTTTTGTCTACATGTGGGTGGTGATTCAGTTTAAGGAACATTTCTGTACATTAGGCATATTTGTGAAAAAAATGCTTTAAAATCATTATTTTATTAACATTCGTATTATTATTAGTTTAAAAAATATATAATAATTTAATTTTACTGTATTATACTGTATTATTTTATCTCTTTAGATACGTTTGACTAATTTATAGTGTTGAAATGTAACATTTAGCACTTTGTAATTTCTCCCAAGAACTTTTTAGAGAATAGTTCGTAGGTTTTTTTTTTTTTTTTTTATCAAATCAGTTATTATTGTATTATTTGAGAATTATTTAAAAATTCTGTTTAATTCAGTCATTTTAAGTCAGTTTAAGTTTAAACACACACACCCACAAATTATGTTTTGGCAACCCACCAAAATAAAAGCTTGCTGATTTTAGGTTTAAAAATATTGAAAATGCATATAAAAAGTATAAAAAAAAAAAAAAAAATTAAATATTTGAATTGTATTTTTAAGTGTACTATAAAATAATTGTATTTTTTATTTAATACTAATTTTTTATTTAAAATATAATAGTATTATCACACTTTATTTTTTTTATTTTGTTTATTATTTTACTTTAAAGGGGTCATATGTTGCGATTTCAATTTTTCCTTTCTCTTTGGAGTGTTACAAGCTCTTGGTGCATAAAGAAGATCTGTAAAGTTGCAAAAACGAAAGTCTCAAATCCAAAGAGATATTCTTTATAAAAGTTAAGAGTCAACCACGCCTACCTAAAACAGCTCGTTCTAACACGCCCCCACATGTCTACCTCACTATGTGGGAAGATTTGCATAACGCCGCCCAAATGTTCACGTAAAGAAAGAAGGCATAACTTTTATTCTCGCTGTAGTATTGTTGCCGCCGCCGCCATGTCGTGAAGGCGTTGTTTCGTTGTGAAAGCGAAAACTACTTTGTTTGGCCTTCCAAAAGAGGACACGACTAGAAATCAGTGGTTAAGTTCTATTTACAACACTGTTCCAGAACAGTTTAACCCAAATATTCCGATGTGTCCAGCGCATTTTATGGAGGACTGTTTCCTGATCCTGGAAAAGTAGACTACAATGCCGGTTGTTCTGACTCACAGACTGTAAGTACATTTTTTATATTTAAAGAATTTGCCACTGACGATTCAAACGCGAGTTTTAAGCAGTATAGAGTTGGCTTGTTGTTTGTCATTTCTCCGATCACAAATGCAGACATGGTTTTATGTTTACGTGGCGCGATGCAATGCAACGCGTAAAAAGACAGTATAGGTCATTATAATCCGTAATTATGTCCCCACTGGATGCAACGAATGCCTTGTTTATAATGGGTTTTAATGTTTTTGTCTCGTCGCTCCGGCCGGACAGGGCATCACAATATGGTAAGGGGCGTAACATTTCCGTCACACGCTTGAGGTATTCGGCCAATCACAACGCACTGGATAGCTGGCCAATCAGAGCACACCTCGCTTTTCAGGCCGATGAGCTTTGTAAAAATCAACGCATTTCAGAAAGGCGGGGCATAGAGGAGAAACAATAATGTACAGTATGTGGAAAATAATGTGTTTTTTGAACCTAAAACCGCATAAACACATTTCATTACACCAAATACACCAAATAATGTTCTTTTTAGCAACATCATATGACCCCTTTAATTATTTTAACTAAATAAAGTGCAATAATACTATTATTAATATTATTAAATATTTATTTTTTTATAGTTCTATTTAATGGGACACACTATGTGCAGTGTGCAGGACACACTCATGAGAACAGACTGAAAAACATATGTGCACCTCTGTATGTATATATGTATAAAATTATACTGTAATAATTATTATATGCTTATTAACTCCTATAATAATTTAATTGACCAATAATAAGTTAATTGACCATTGTTTAAAAAAACCCCAGCAAAACATGACATGACGAAATGTTGGCTGTGCTCCATAAATCCTGTGTCTCATCCCTCAGGAATGGATCAATATGACAGGCTTCCTGTGTGCGTTGGGTGGCGTGTGTTTGCAGCAGAGGAACACGTCTGCTCTGGCCACATACAGTCCTCCCATGGGCACCCTGAACGATCGCAAGGGCTCCATGGTGTCCATGGCATCATGTGAGGGGAACCCAGAGACACCCCTGAGCAGGTTTCTGGACCGTCTTCTGTCGCTGATGGTGTGCAATCATGAGAAGGGCCATCAGATCCGCACTAACGTCAAAGACCTGGTGGGGCTGGAGCTCTGTCCAGCACTCTATCCCATGCTGTTCAACAAACTCAAAAACGGCATCAGCAGATTCTTCGATGCCCAGGGCCCGGTGAGACAGCTTGTCAAAATGTATACGTACAGTGGAAGTCTTATGAAGCCATGTGACATCTTTATAAGCTGGTTGGACGTCACTTGCATCAAATGTCATAGGTACTTATGTCTCTATGCTCATATGGTTAGGTGCCAATTAACGAGACCAACACGCAGTTTGTGGAGCAGACCATCGCCATCATGAAGAACCTTCTGGACAACCATACGGAAGGAAGCTCAGAGCATCTTGGTCAAGCCAGCATTGAGACCATGATGCTTAACCTGGTTAGGTAAGTCATTTGTTTGCTTATGTTAATCAGCTTTGCTGTGAAGATCATTCTCTAAATGTATGTTTCAGGTCACATTCTTTCCAGTCTTTTACTAAAGAGCAATTTGAGAAATTTCTCCAGGGCTGTACAGTTCAGTTTTTATTTCTGCTTGCCTGGTCGTACCAGAAGTTCAAATTTCCGCTGTAATATACAGGTGCATCTCAATAAATGTCGTGGAAAAGTTCATTTATTTCAGTAATTCAACTCAAATTGTGAAACTCGTGTATTAAATCAATTCAGTGCACACAGACTGAAGTAGTTTAAGTCTTTGGTTCTTTTAATTGTGATGATTTTTGACTCACATTTAACAAAAACCCACCAATTCACTATCTCAACAAATTAGAATATGGTGACATGTGCACACAGATTGAAGTAGTTTAAGTCTTTGGTTCTTTTAATTGTGATGATTTTGGCTCACATTTCACAAAAACCCACCAATTCACTATCTCAACAAATTAGAATATGGTGACATGCCAATCAGCTAATCAACTCAAAACACCTGCAAAGGTTTCCTGAGCCTTCAAAATGGTCTCTCAGTTTGGTTCATTAGGCTACACAATCATGGGGAAGACTGCTGATCTGACAGTTGTCCAGAAGACAATCATTGACACCCTTCACAAGGAGGGTAAGCCACAAACATTCATTGCCAAAGAAGCTGGCTGTTCACAGAGTGCTGTATCCAAGCATGTTAACAGAAAGTTGAGTGGAAGGAAAAAGTGTGGAAGAAAAAGATGCACAGCCAACTGAGAGAACCGCAGCCTTATGAGGATTGTCAAGCAAAATCGATTCAAGAATTTGAGTGAACTTCACAAGGAATGGACTGAGGCTGGGGTCAAGGCATCAAGAGCCACCACACACAGACGTGTCAAGGAATTTGGCTACAGTTGTCGTATTCCTCTTGTTAAGCCACTCCTGAACCATAGACAATGTCAGAGGCGTCTTACCTGGGCTAAGGAGAAGAAGAACTGGACTGTTGCCCAGTGGTCCAAAGTCCTCTTTTCAGATGAGAGCAAGTTTTGTATTTCATTTGGAAACCAAGGTCCTAGAGTCTGGAGGAAGGGTGGAGAAGCTCATAGCCCAAGTTGCTTGAAGTCCAGTGTTAAGTTTCCACAGTCTGTGATGATTTGGGGTGCAATGTCATCTGCTGGTGTTGGTCCATTGTGTTTTTTGAAAACCAACGTCACTGCACCCGTTTACCAAGACATTTTGGAGCACTTCATGCTTCCTTCTGCTGACCAGCTTTTTGAAGATGCTGATTTCATTTTCCAGCAGGATTTGGCACCTGCCCACACTGCCAAAAGCACCAAAAGTTGGTTAAATGACCATGGTGTTGGTGTGCTTGACTGGCCAGCAAACTCACCAGACCTGAACCCTATAGAGAATCTATGGGGTATTGTCAAGAGGAAAATGAGAAACAAGAGACCAAAAAATGTAGATGAGCTGAAGGCCACTGTCAAAGAAACCTGGGCTTCCATACCACCTCAGCAGTGCCACAAACTGATCACCTCCATGCCACGCTGAATTGAGGCAGTAATTAAAGCAAAATGAGCCCCTACCAAGTATTGAGTACATGTACAGTAAGTGAACATACTTTCCAGAAGGCCAACAATTCACTAAAAATGTTTTTTTTTATTGGTGTTATGAAGTATTCTAATTTGTTGAGATAGTGAATTGGTGGGTTTTTGTTAAATGTGAGCCAAAATCATCACAATTAAAAGAACCAAAGACTTAAACTACTTCAGTCTGTGTGCATTGAATTGATTTAATACACGAGTTTCACAATTTGAGTTGAATTACTGAAATAAATGAACTTTTCCATGACATTCTAATTTATTGAGATGCACCTGTAATTTGATAAAATTTGTATATAACTATACTGTTCAAAAGTTTGGGACTGGTAGTATTTTTATGTTTTTATAAAAACGTCTTTAATGCTCACCGAGACTGCATTTATTTGGTCAACTATACATTAAAAAAAGTAATATTGTGAAATATTATTAGAGTTTTATTTAAAAAAAAATTATTATTATTTTTAATTTTTAAGGATTCTTGGATGAATAGGAAGTTATAAAGTTAAATATAAATGTTTTGTAACATTGTAAATGTCTTTACTGTAAGTTTGATCAATTTAATTAATCTTTGTGGAATAAAAGTATTAATTTCTTTAAAAAAAACTTATTTTCAATTTTAATTATTATTTTTTTAATTATTAAGAATGATTTATACTTTTTTAAGCTTAAAATCAAACAAAAAGCTTTAAAGACTACAATAAATTTATATATATTTTTTTTTTCTGGCATACACGGCAAATCTTTACTGATTAGTTTGTCATTTCTAACCCATTTTTACTGATGCTATCAGGATTATCACAAGTTATTCTTGCAAATGTTGACAAAACTTAATCTATGTCACCTTTTATTGTTGATTTCTTTGTGCTTAAACCATAATTATTTGTGTGCCTTTTTGTGTGTTATAGGTATGTGCATATTCTTGGCAACATGGTTCATGCCATCCAGATCAAAACTAAACTGTGCCAGCTGGTAGAGATCATGATGGAGTGCAGAGATGACCTCTCTTTCTGCCAAGAGATGAAGTTCAGGTACAACAAAATGCTACTGTAGTCCTGCTCTTTATGCGATAGACAGATTATATGCAATGTTTTATTTCTGCTCTGGAGATGCATCAGATTTGTGTGTGTGTCTCAGGAATAAGATGGTGGAGTATCTGACGGACTGGGTGATGGGAACATCCAACCAGGCAGCAGATGATGATGTGAAATGCCTCACAAGGTAACATCCTCGTGAACGCATTATTTTCATTCAGATGGCATCATTAATATTCTAGTTTACTGAACAACCTCCATTGGACTTTTGTTCTGAGAAACATTAAGTTCATATGTGCAATGCAAATCGAAAAATGACTTTTAGTGGTTGATTCTTTTTTTACTATAAGCTGTATGGTTGTGATTGACAGGGATCTGGATCAGGCGAGTATGGAAGCGGTGGTGTCTCTTCTGGCCGGCCTGCCCCTTCAGCCAGAGGAGGGGGATGGTGTGGAGCTGATGGAGGCCAAATCTCAGCTCTTCCTAAAGTAAGACTCAAGTTCCATATTAAACCCTAGTTTCCGGTCATGGAGTTTGTACATTACTCTGCCCCTGCTGTCCTCCACAGGTACTTCACTCTCTTCATGAACTTGCTGAACGACTGCAGTGAGGTGGAGGACGAGGGTCAGCAGGTGACTGGACGTAAGCGAGGGATGTCCAGGCGGTTGGCGTCTTTAAGGCACTGCACCGTCTTGGCCATGTCCAACTTGCTCAACGCCAACGTGGACAGCGGCCTTATGCACTCTATTGGTGAGAGAATCAAGCCATAAATCTCTCAAATAACACTTTAAATTCATAAATCATCTATTGAATTTTATTTTAGTTCATTAATTATTTTAATTGTATTTATGTATTTTTTCTTATTCATTTTACATTTAATTTCTTCTTTAACTCTGTCATAAATAAAACGTATTCTTCAGGACAAGTAATGACTTTTTGTGACAAATCTTTAACACCATATAGTAATATATTCAATAACATTATCAATCCAACGCTAGGGCCGAATTAAGATGAATAATGACACTAATGTTGTAACAGCGACACTGTTATTGAACTGAATTGAATCAACATTGAATTGAGCTGAATAATGGCATTATTGTACATCTGCTTCATATGAACCTTGCAACATTAACACTTATTTTCCTGTTTATTACTGTGAAGCTGCTTTGACACAATCTGTATTGTTTAAAGCACTTTATAAATGAAGGTGACTTGACTTTCTCATGCATTTAATCAAAGTTTGCGTGTCTGCCGCTCTCTTGCAGGGCTGGGCTATCATAAGGACCTTCAGACCAGGGCTACGTTCATGGAGGTCCTCACTAAGATCCTGCAGCAGGGGACAGAGTTTGACACACTGGCAGAGACCGCGCTGGCCGATCGCTTTGAGAGGCTTGTGGAACTTGTCACGATGATGGGGGATCAGGGGGAGTTACCTATCGCCATGGCGCTGGCCAATGTGGTGCCTTGTTCTCAGTGGGTGGGTACTTTAAGTAAATAATCTGTACTTTTTTTTTGTATGGTGCAAGATGAGTAGTTAATTAATTCAGCTATAATTGTACCATATAGTATAGAGATAATTCAAACAATGTTTTTCAAAATTCTGTATGCAACAAACAGTATATTTTTAATACACATTTTTAAAAACTTTTTTAATACACATTTTTATCAACTTTGAAATATAACATTGAGAATCTCCCATTGACGTACAATAATAGAATGTTTGCAAGTCAAAATCCAACCATCAATGATTATTTGCGTACTGATTTGGCAGTGTTCTTTTTCTTTTCTAAAGCTGATTTACATATTAATTGTGTTTTGGTCTTTTTTCCCTTACTTAACAATTCAGCCATCTATATTATTATCATTCTCTTTCTATTTCGGTGTTTGGGATTAACTTTTTTTTAATTTTATTTATTTATATTTTTTATCTAGAGCAGTTGTTCTCAACCTTGGAGTATTGATATATTAAATTATAAATTAAGCACAGTTAATTTTGTGATTGCAAAGGTTTCAAGAAATATATTATCTTTAATATTAACAATACTTTTTCAGGGGGAAGAAAAATTATTTTATATTGATTTAATTTTTTTTAGCATTTTTATTTCAATTACAGTTAGATTATTTTAATATAGTAATAATACTCTTTTGATTTTAAATACTTTTTAGGTCATCCTGCATCCCCCTTTGAAAGTTTGCTGAGGCGTCTGGTTGAGAACTTCCTGAGAAATCTACTATTTCTTTTTCTTTTTGTTAAATTATTTAACTTAAAGTATTATTAATAGTATAAAATGAGAAAATGTGCATTATTATTAACCATTATTACTCACCGTTTTGTTTTAAAAATGTCATAAAAGGTCCTTTGCACATTGTAAACCTAAAGAAGGTCAAATGACTGAAACGTTGCAAATAAAATTGAGATGCAAGTTTGAGTACTGTGTGGAATTTATATTGAACTTTGGTCTTTTCAGGATGAACTGTCACGTGTTCTGGTAACTCTCTTTGATTCGAGGCATCTCCTGTATCAGCTTCTGTGGAATATGTTCTCTAAAGAGGTGGAGCTGGCAGATTCCATGCAAACACTGTTCCGCGGCAACAGCTTGGCCAGTAAAATCATGACGTTCTGCTTTAAGGTGCCTGTAAGATTCCCCTGGCGTGCAAATGATTATTCAAAGAGGCAAATGATCCCGATTAATTTAGTTGTGAATTTCCCTCTTGGGAGCTCATGGAAATTCCTTTTTTCAGGTGTACGGGGCCACGTATCTGCAGAAGCTGTTGGAGCCGTTGCTCAGGGCAGTGATCACGGGCACTGAGTGGCAGATGCTGAGCTTTGAGGTGGATCCCACCAGGTATCTGTCCGAATGAACCTTTAAATCAGTCATTCGCAACTGGTATGTGGGTGCAAATTCACCTGTCACTTGATAAAAGCTAGCCAAATTAGGAAGAAGCATCATGGACTGATTGCAAAACATGCTGTCATCCCATAACAATGAACAAAACTACGTAAAGTAAAAGAGAATTGACACCAGACTAATTTAAATAGAGGTTCACTTGCCGTGAGGATAAACTGGTTTGCACCGACCACACTGTGTTAAAGTGTTTATTAAAAAATAAAGATCAATGTGGTTCATTTCTTGCGTTTCAATTGGTATTTTCCTACTCGGCCTGTGTCAGCATATTAATAATGAGTTGTGATGTAAATATATTTGAATGTTTGATTTTAAGGACATTGATTTTTGTGTACTTTCATGTGCTAAACTCTTTTAGTGCCGTGTTGTTTCAACAGTGTTGTGTTCTCTATTAAAGACAGCAGACATGCCTATGTGATGTTCAGATTCTGGTTGGAGATGATTGACTTGTGTTCTTCCTGCAGACTTGAGACCGGTGAGAATTTGGAGGAGAACCAGCGCAATCTGTTACGGATGACCGATCGCTTCTTTCGGGCCATAATCAGCTCATCTGGCGAGTTTCCACCTCAGCTCCGCAGCGTCTGTCACTGTCTCTTTCAGGTGAGGTTGAAGAAACCTCTGAGGTGATTCCTTGGAGTGCAAAGAGGCCCGAGTTTGTTTCTGTGGATGTCTGAATCCCCGTGTTAATCTGCGATGATATTACTAATGTCAAATATGCTTTAGTTTTGCTTTGGAGACTGAATGTTTAATTGAACCGTTTAAAGCCAACATGAAATCAAAATTTGCGTTCTGGTCTTATTTGTGCACAATTTAATACAAATAAGCTCAGAAAAATGACCTTTGTAATGTAATTAGATGCAATAGCTTATTTCAAATTCATATTTGACGTTAGTTCCTGTGTATACGATGAGAAGGCCACATAGAATCTGCACTGAACAAATTTGTGTAAATGGTTTATAAAACCATTCTTAGATTTCTGCCTTAAAGTGTGATCATTTACAAAAGGATGGTTTTACAAAAGATTTTTTGAGGTCAGTTGTTCAAGAAATGTTTTCTATTCGTCAAAGGATGAAAAAAAAAACAGTTTTTAACATTGATAATAAGAAATATTTCTTCCGCAGCAAACCAGCATATTAGAGTGATTTCTGAAGGATCACGTGACACTGAAGACTGGAGTAATGGCTGTTGAAAATTCCGTTTGCCATTACAGGAATAAATTACATTTTTTAAATATATTAAAATAGGAAACAGTTATTTTAAACTGTTCTAATATTTTTTTTAATTACTTTTTAATATTACTGTATTTTTGATCAAATAAATGCAGCCTTGGTGAACATAAGAGACTCCAAACTTGCTCCATGGCCTAATAGGTAGAAAAAGTGTGTGTGTGTGTGTGTGTTAGCTTGTGCCATGACTTGTTTGTGCTCATTTCTGTTCTGTAGGCTACTTGCCACTCTCTCCTGTCTAAAGCATCTGTCAAAGACAGAAAGGAAGTGAGGAAAGCAGTAAGTGTGAATGGCGGACGTGTCTGCTTCCTGTCTTGATTCGCTTCATTAATCTGAGACTCTTGTGCACCTCTGGCCTGCATTACTGTCATTACATCAAATCATGTCTACTAATTTCCTGATTTTTGGCAAGCTGAAGCTTTCACTGAATGTACCTCTTAGCACCAGCACCAGGAAAAACAACAAACTCTAGCTCCGGCCATCATCTTTGCATGAGCCGTCACTCTCAGGACTGAAGGTTGGAAATTATCAGGGCATTGGATGCAGTGGTGCATTGTGGGTTATGTAATTTGGTAACGAACTTCGCCCCTATTTGAATGCCAGAATGATTTTACGCTTGACTGTTCAACCTGAAACGTTTATTCAGAGTAAAACGCATTTCTCTGTAGTGCCATTTTAAACGCTTTGCTGTTCCCTTTTTTCTTCTCTAACACTCTTAAAGGTCACTGGTGAAGACCTCCGCCATCATTGGACTGTTTAACGGCTTCAAACTACTTCCTACACTTTAACTCTAAAGCCTTAAACTCTAGCTCCGGCCATCATCTTTGCATGAGCCGTCACTCTCAGGACTGAAGGTTGGAAATTATCAGGGCATTGGATGCAGTGGTGCATTGTGGGTTATGTAATTTGGTAACGAACTTCGCCCCTATTTGAATGCCAGAATGATTTTACGCTTGACTGTTCAACCTGAAACGTTTATTCAGAGTAAAACGCATTTCTCTGTAGTGCCATTTTAAACGCTTTGCTGTTCCCTTTTTTCTTCTCTAACACTCTTAAAGGTCACTGGTGAAGACCTCCGCCATCATTGGACGGCTTCAAACTACTTCCTACACTTTAACTCTAAAGCCTCTGGTGCGATTTCATTCAGATAGTTCCCTCACAGAACCTCATGTTATCCAGTTACTCAACAGATATCATCATATGATCAAGTTCACTTCCAATAAAAAATAATTTAACATGATTTGACTTGGAAATGCTCAGATACATTAATGTGATTATGAATTTTGGTTCTGAATTGAAACTATCCTAATGAAATGGCATATGTTACCTCAGCCATAAAGTCCTTCTTTCACGTTCCTGTGTATTTCTGTGTTTTGGTTTCAGGTGGTTAGCCAGCGTTTCCCACAGAACAGTATTGGAGCTGTAGGAAGTGCAATGTTTCTGCGTTTTGTGAACCCAGCTATAGTCTCTCCATATGAGGCTGGAATTCTCGACAAAAAGCCTCCACCTAGGATGGAAAGGGGCCTTAAACTCACGTCAAAGGTGAGAATTTTTGCATAGAGATAAAATTAATACTACTTTTATAAAAGTTGTCCATGCTGGAAAACAGGTTGTACCAGCTTATGTTGGCCAAGTTGGATTTTGCTGCTTCGATGCTGGTCCAGAAAGGTCTGCCAGGTCAGAACCAGGTCCGTGATCTAGAAAGTCAACTGATCAACCATCTAGTAGAGTTTATTTAATCGATAAGTCACTAGAATAATAGCAATAATGACTAAAACCCACTTAATAGTTGTAAAATCACTGCAGGGCATGGCCTTGATGGTCGTGGCAGTGATAATATATTATGAAAGACATCAGTGTACAAAATGGAAAGATTTGGAGTTTTCTGTTTTATAAAGACTCATATTTCATTTGTCATCTGTCCGCAGATCCTGCAAAGTATTGCCAACCATGTTTTGTTCACAAAAGAGGAACACATGAGGCCATTTAATGACTTTGTGAAGAGTAATTTTGATGCAGCCAGAAGGTAAGAAAGCGATTAGCGATCTTCAGGATTTAGATCCTCCCACTAGCTAGTTTAAACTTTGGCTTTTCTTGTAGATTTTTCCTGGACATTGCCTCTGACTGTCCGGCGAGCGACTCTCTCAACCACAGCCTGTCCTTCATTAGTGATGGCAATGTTTTGGCCCTGCACAGGCTGCTGTGGAACAACCAAGAGAAAATCGGCCAGTATTTGTCTAGTAACAGGTGAGCTGGTCTGTGAAAGACTTGTTATCATCCAGCTCATGCGGTCTGTATCAGAGAGACTGTTATTGGAAGTGAAAATGCAGCTTAGGCTTTTCTTGGGATTAGATTTTTGGATTTGTGCTCATTCAAATCTCTATATTTGGTTGGGAAGTGATTTGCATTTTTTTACTCTTTTCTAAACTTGTTTCTCTCTGATCTTATTGTATTGGTTAAATACAAGGGTCAGCTGTTTTGTTGTGAAAATTATCATCCATCACTTTGAATGACAGGGTTGTACATTTTATGTCATGCTTTGTATTAATCCTACAGTAAAATATTGTAATGCAAGCATACATTTTTTGATATTTTTTTCAAATCCTCAGTGAAGTTTCAGTTAATCAAAAAATATTTTTCCAAACTCTTCAGGGATCATAAAGCTGTTGGAAGGAGGCCCTTTGATAAGATGGCCACCCTGCTTGCTTACCTGGGTCCCCCAGAACACAAACCTGTGGCAGATACTCATTGGTCCAGCCTGAATCTCACCAGCTCCAAATTTGAGGAGTTTATGACAAGGTAGAGAAGGCTGCTGTTTTTATTTTTATTTATTTAGTTTTTAGTTTTCAGTATGCATGGTATTTTTGCAAGCATAACCATTTTTGCATGGTATGCTAGTTTTCCAGGAAAAAAAATTCTTATTACAGATGAAAGACTTCTTGTCAGTTTGAATTAGTTTTATTTTTCTAACCCAATTATTTAAAGCAGAAGCCCCACTTTTACTTTGCAGTTCATAACTGGAGTCCATAACTGTTTTTATTTTTCTTTAGACACCAGGTGCATGAGAAAGAAGAGTTTAAAGCATTGAAGACTCTTAACATCTTTTACCAGGCTGGAACTTCAAAGAACGGAAACCCTGTGTTTTACTATGTAACTCGCAGGTAAGACTTCATGATACCTGACCGATGGTTGCAAAAGAATTACAAAGGCACACATTGTTCTTTTGTTCAACGTTTTATTGCTTCTAAAAACAATCAGTTAACCAACAACAACATACAGATGCATAGATTTACCTTTGTTGATTAAATTACGAAGATATTACAGCATTTTACAGAAATAAATAAAAAATGTGGTTGTGAATAGTACCAATATTTTTTTTCATATTTGGAATATTTTTCGCTAATATTAAGCAAAAAGCTGTTTGTTACAAGCTGTATAACATCTACGAAAGTTTCATAGCATTTCAGAAAGACTATTAAGTCTCCAAAGAATCTCACATTATTGTCTGCCTTCAAAGCCCAAGGGAGGTTGATGGTCACTGTATCATCTGTAGTAAGCTCAAAGTTATGAACACAAGCAGCGGAAGTTTGAAGCAGCTGGTCACGGAGGAAGTGGAGGAAGCCGAGGAACCGGAGGAACTGCCAATGAGGGCGCTGACAGTTCCTTCTTTAGCATTCTGGATTGTGTTGTTTTTGGAGCTGGATGATGTGGTGTTGTTCATAGTCCAAGTCATGCTAGTGGAGTTGCTGGTTGAAATTCCGCTGTTCGTATACTGGTTAGCACCGTTCCCATTTTGATTAGCACCGTTGTTTTTGGCAGTGGTGGTAAATGAAGTAGTAGTGTTTGAACTAAGGACCTGCATACAGCCGAACATCACAACAAGCAGAACCACGCAGATGTCCACTTTTAGAGCCATTTCTCTGATCTGAGAAGAACATAACACAAAAATCATATCAGTATATAGAAGTATTAGCACTTCTTTTTTTATTAGCTCCAAAATGATGTTTAACACACATGAGCAGTTTTTTTTCCGATACAAGATTAATTTATGTTTATAGAGGTTGAGTATCATTCCGAATTGAATTTTAATTTGTGAACACTTTGCTTCATTCCAAAGAAATAATTTAGAGCATAGAACATAGAACAATGTTTAGAACATTCCCCGGGTACTCACCGGCGGTGATCCACGTAAATAATGCTGATGTTTTATCTCTGCGAGTGGTGATGTGCAGTGTCTCTAAACACATGCTGACGCTTTTAATAATGACACCAGTGGAAGAAGTCACATGGTTCTTCAAAAAGGAGGGTCAGTGATGGAAAGATCATGCTGACAAGATTTCTCTTTGTTTAACAAATAGTTTGTTTGCTTTTCATGAGGTATCATGGTGACAATTGGAAGACTGGCTTGAGTTGCTGTGTTTTCTGACAAAAGATTTCCAAATTGGGTCTTATTTTAAAGTTTATATTCCTACATAGCTGGGTAACCTGACTTAACTGTTTATCACTGCCATTAGTAATAACAGGCTTTCTAAATGTTTTGTGTTCTGTCAGAAGAGTCAGCCATGATAATGAAAGGCTGATGCTGAGAAAAATAAACCCTGCTTTCCCAGCTGGAAAATCCTGTTAACATCAGGTTTAAAGCTACATTTTACGTTTTTAGGTAGTTGTGAAGATGGATTACCAGCTGTTTGGAAGCTGAAGGTGCTGGTAGACCATCTTGAATCAAGCATAATGTTTGTCAGTTGTTTTTGGAACATGGCAGGTAGTTTTCTGGTAATTTTAGTGACTGATTTATTACTTTAAATAAAACTTTGTTTTTAAATGACATTCAAATGGAATCCGTTTTGACTATGGATGGACAAGTAATAATATGTTGTAGTCAAGTGGTGAAAGTTTGGCTGGTTTCCATCAGTTATTAACCCCTGCTAGTAAATGCCAGGGTTGTACCCTTATGGCCCAGGTGGCCCAGTAGTGCACAACCTGTCAAAAAGTCTCCATAACAATGCATTGGACTAATTTCGCTGTGTTCTGCTAATTCCTTTGTGTTGCAGCTTGATTCCTTTGTGTTGTGATAATTTCGTTGTTGTAGCTTGTTTCCATTGTGTTATGCTAATTTTGTTGCGTTGCAGCTTGTTTTCATTGTGTTGTGCACTACTGGCCATCATACTTATGTGGACAAAAAGCACATTTCTTTATTGAATTGCATCACAATCTCATCTATGTAATCTGATGAAAATCATTATATTTCATTATATTGATTTGATCATTTGTATTTAAAAAATGTCTTCGATTTTATTGAACAGTGTAGAATTTTGATTAAAAAAGAATGCGTTTTGTTCATGTTTTTATTATTGCAGAAGTATTAACAGAATCATGCATTTAACTTATCATTTTTAAAACAGAATGGATTGTCAGAAGTTAATCTGATTAACATATGAAATACTTCTACACCCATTTCATTTGAACCTGTATGTCCGGTAATGTTTGTTGCTCCACTACATTGGTACATTGTTCTGTTTTGGAAGTTTAAGTCCTTTTAATGTTTTCATAATATGTTAAACATAAACATTATTTGAAAATACTGAGCATGTTATCCATTTGTTAACTAGGGCTGGGACAATAAATCGATGCATCGCGAATCGAGAAATGATTTTCCGAAGGCATCGCGATTCTCTCTTGAATCGATTCTGAGCTTAGTTTTTAATAGCAGATGCGTGCTTTAGAAATAGCCGAATTCTGCTTGCTTCCAGTTCCTTACACATGCACCATTTGAACCTAAAATAAT